TTATACCTTACGATCCCCTTTTGCTTTATTTAGAAACGGAAGAAACGAAAGAATAATAAGTAATTTAAAAAAGTGGCAATGTATATGGCCAGTTTTTTTGAATTCGCCAGTTTATAACTGAATGTGGAATCAATTATACTCATGCGGAACGTAATCCATTATAAAGAGAAAAGAAAGTTCTTTCATCTCGGAAAGTAATCCATTATAAAGAGAAAAGAAAGTTCTTTCATCTCCAGTCAAAGCAGAAGGTAATCCATTATAAAGAGAAAAGAAAGTTCTTTCATCTCCAGTCAAATGAAAGGTAAACCATTATAAAGAGAAAAGAAAGTTCTTTTATTTCCAGTCAAATTTAAACCATTATAAAGAGAAAAGAAAGTTCTTTTATTTCCAGTCAAATTGAATGAAACCATTATCAAGAGAAAAGAAAGTTCTTTTATTTCCAGTCAAATTGAATCGATCTTCAGGAAACTTAATTAAATTCTCAAAAGTATAAAATTTCATTGTGACATTACGTTGGAAAAAGTTAATATACGCAGCAATTCGTCAGCCGAATATCTAATCAAAGCAATTTCTAAGAGGTAAACTTTAATGGAAAGTTTTTTTTGCCAATCTTAGGAAAAGTAGTTACACAACTCCATTGCGGACAAGATTTACACTCGACAATGTGTTCTGCTGTTTTGAGGCATTTCTGTATATCAAAAAAGTTGCCATCTTCATGAAAACTTATGTAAGGGAAACACTTTATTTCGGTAAATGCTCTTTATATCTATCTTGTTTAAAAGGTTTGCTGTATTTATAAATTTCTCAAAGAAGAGAGTAAAACATAGGAAAATTATGACACTGCTTTTGTTGATGACATTCAATGAATACTTAGCCAGTAAGACTAAAGTTAACAGAATATCTTGACTAAAGAAAAGTTCTTGCTATATATAGAAAGTGGTTGCTTCAATTTTTCAATTTAACACGATATCTGAATTTAGTGTTCTAATTTATAACTCTTTTTTACGTCTCCAAAATCATGGGATTATCGAGAAAATTTTATTTTTTCTTTACAAACACTTAGTAATTCCTACATTTCTTTTAAGTAACTAATATGCCTGATGCAGTTCATTATTATTTCTTAATCTTCCTAAATGCATTCACTTTGGTATTCGAGTAATGATCAAACTTAAACAAAGTTATGAAAATTGCATGGTATCTTCGAGTAATGATCAATCTTATACAAAGTTATGAAAATTGCATGGCCTGTCATTCGAGTAATGATCAGACTTATACGAAGTTATGAAAATTGCTTGGCCTGTGGCGACTACTGTATATTTAAAATTGGACCACTGACTTGTTATACCGCCATTTCCTAATTTCGAGTTTTTTGTAACTTAGATATTAACATGCTAGTAAATAGTAATTTGTTTACCAAGTTATGTTTTTTTTATTTATGGTGCTTTCTTTACTGCTATAATATTTTTGGGGTACGCCGCGTGTGCTGACTTCGCGCAAAATGACAGGTATTAGTTTATTTAAGACGTTTTATCAGTTAGGGAATCTGCTGTACGTTTTAACTCGATAAAAAATGCGCTCGACGTATGTATCATAGTGTTACAGGTGTAGCACTTACCGAGCTTGTTTATGTACATTCGACGTTATAATGTTCATTTATACCGACAACACAAAAATAGTTACGTAGTTTTATTTGTATTCCAGTCGGTGTTTTCCCCACCGGAACGTCTATAATAACGCGAATTTGTGGGAATAGGACTCTAATTTAACTTCTTGCGGCTATGATTGTGCCTGATCTAGCCGGCCTTAATTATGCCATAGACGGTACCCCACCACTCATGACGATCCAATGCAGACAGGCGAATGTCAGACAACTGCTTCATGTCTTGACGAAATTTGTCGAGGCAAGTTTTGAGTGTCCACCGCTTCGGCTCCTCCACGTAGCCTGCGAAGCTGAACAAAGGGCAAAGCTCATGTGACTAACGACGGAGGAAAACCCCAGCCTTCTCAGTCATCTTCTTTGGATGCCCTGTGATATCCTCGCGATTCTGTTGCAGCAAATGCGGACTGTTTTCTTTGGGACGAAGACGGTATACTTCATTTGAAGGATGGTCCTCAAGCAGCGGTGGTCAAAAACCTTCAGCCTTCGTTCATCTTCCACGCAAAAAGCCCTCATTTATGTTGAAGTTAGTTGCCTGTCCAGCAGAATTTTTCCAAAATTAAAAGTCCCGGAGGACAAATTAGACTTAAACAGCTTTCTCTGTGAGAAGAAGTTATTCGGGGCTGTGTCACGCGCGAGCTGGTTGCACTGTCTTCACGCCAGTTGTGTCCGAGAAAGTGTCTGCTGTGGAGAAGCCTTGAATGCGGAATGGGTGTTTTGCCGTCTGTTCAGCAGGTGAAATAGCGTGTATGGATTGGTTTCGAGATTATGCGAGTCAACGGGGACCGTAGGAAGGACAGGACATTGGGGGCATCTAACACCGAGTAACAGCGTGCTAGGGAGTTGCCAGATCACGCGAGAGTATCAAAGGCAATGTAGATGCAGCCGCCTCAATAAACATGGAAAACATGGAACATAAAATAGGTTTGCAAACATGTCACTGTTTGCTTAACATTTTCGACCACTTTGTAAGGATGCTGATTTTGAATGGATAAACGCAAGGTCAGCTATAATTGGATGTAACGTTTTTATGTCACAAACCTATGCTTTGATAAAATAGCGACAGTGAGAAGAATCGACAAAGATAGTGTAAACGTAAAGGCACATTAGGACTAGGATGATAGCACAGGCCATACGAATGATGACGTAAATAATAATTATACAGCGAAGTGCGTTCAAATGTCAACAGGAAGTCGTTCATGAATGCTCACCAGCAACTAACGGAAATCACTTGTCCGACTCTCTCCTGGGCTGCCATTCTCAGGCCCTGGCATCGGACGTAGCAGCTAGTAATATAGAAAGCTAGTAATGTCGTCAAAAACATGGCGATTGGAACGACCATTTCTGGCTTATAAGCCGTCGTCAGCCTGTCATGCCAAGCCATAATTTATGCTTCACCTAAAGCTTGAACTCTTAACCTTCTTGGTCCGAATCTGACGCCCTTATCATTTAGCCACGAATGTATTGTTAGGCCGGTTTAGTTTGGGAGCTATAGAAACTAGTTGATGAACGTGCAACGTCCCCTAGCGGAACTCACTTGTCCCGCTCTGACTTGGGATTCATTTCTCGGGCTCGAGTTCAAACATCCGGCAGTGCACCACTTGGCGCTGGGAATGACTCGCCGAAGATGGTTAAGAAGCCAGAAATGGCCAATCCAGTCCTCCGTGGCTCTGTTAGCAATAGTATACGCCAACAGGAAACATGTCTAAGTCAAGTGTGTCAACAGTCTGCAGAAAATCGACACAAAATAAAGTTTCCATGGGACGGCTGACTGAAAGGTCACAGTTCACATAGAGTCGAATAAAAGAGACCTCAGATACGGTTTAAAAAAAGATTTATTTATCTTTGACGGCGGAGATCATCGTCAGGGATGGAAAATAGAGGAATCCATCGGAGTCTTCAACAGCTCTCGATGGTGGTCCACATAAATAGGTGGCGGAGATTGGTGCTTAAGAGGAGAAGGCAACTAGCATCCAGCCGAACCGACTCAAAATACAAAAAGAGACTTCCAAAGGCAACTTTCGAATAATTTGGAAGGAAGAAAACTAATAAATAAGTATCTTCGAAGTAAAATACTTACAGAATATACGTTTAAATAAAGCTATAGTTTAATAAGGTCACATTTCAAGCGGAGGATTATTCACATGGCAGACATTTTCACCATTAAGCGTCTGCGTGGTATTTTTGGTACCTTTTATCCACTAATCGTAAAACGACTGGCTGAATGGCTCCAGACCAATTCACAAGAGCAAAAGGGGATAAAAGAGCCCCGAAACCAATCGCTAAGCGTCGCGCTTACATTGCTAATATTCCTGATCACAGCCGGCAGGAAACTGAGTCCATAGCCAATTGCTTTGAGCGTTGCACTTCTGAGTAAGAAGACGTACGTTCAAAAGTGAAAGACATTCTAGTTTTTTAACTTTTCGGTTATATTTTATGTACACCTCCTTGCCAGATGTGGCCGACTATTGATAGTTTAGAAATCAAATCAATAATTTTCTGAACGAATGCATCACAAATTTTGAATTCAGCAAAGCATTGCAGAATTCCGCAGAACGCAATTTGACAAACTTGATATCCACCATCAAAGGATATGTATACGGTAAGGCAAAATGTAAGGGAATAGCCGCGTTTGACTGTGCATTCCAATTTTGCCTGAGTACTTGAAGTGGCGCTACGTTGACCGCAGAAAAGTTCACATAACATGGTGCAAGTACCACTCTTATCAATGCTTTCCAGACAAAGAATATCTACCACTAGCACGGAAGCCCGGCTTCGCCTTGGCCTCCTTACCCATTGTTGCCCCTTTATGAAGGAAAAAGGTAAGTGTCCTCTGCAGTAAAACCTTTTGAAACAATTAATACGTACGAAGGATAAGTTAACAGTAATGCAGAACGGTATGGAAAGACGGAGAACTGTAATTGTGGCAACAGAGAGGGTGACGTACGTAACCATTAAGGGAAAACGTGGTAGACTTCAAAGGGAAAAGTAAGGAGGACACACGTAAAAGTATTAATGGGATGGACGGAGGTAGGGTAAGAAAGGGCGAGGGAGGAACAAAAAAGAGCCGAGTTTTGAGTGACTGAGGAATTACAGGAGGGACGATGATAAGTGGGATATCAATAGGAACCGTAAGTAAGTGGAAGGTTTAACCGTCAGACCAATGCTTCATGGTAAACATCATTACTTCAAGATCCTGTTGGGTGCCAAGACGTATGAATTCCGTTTTGAACCAACTCGAGATATGGCAACGTAAAGTTGGCCGTGGGAAAAGCACCATCCTTCAAGGTGAAGTCCAGCCAGCTTGAAGGTTTGACCTTGGGACTTGTTGATGGACATTGCAAAGCAAAGCTTCATAGGGAACTGCAGACGCCGGAAACTGAAGGTGGTATCGGACAGGATGATGGGAATGC